GTTAGTTAGTTAGTTAGTTAGTTAGTTAGTTAGTTAGTTAGTTAGTTAGTTAGTTAGTATCTTTTGAATCATAAAGTGAGATGTCTCAATCAGCTTTATGTTTGCCAGCAGCCACCTCCACAGGACATTTGAGTGGTTGGATATTTAAAAAATCCCATTCTTTGCAGGGTGCAACATCATTTGCCAAGCTCCGACATCATCAGAACTATGCTTCTTTTCTCCAAATCTTTTAAATTTAACCTCAGTGGGGAATTGTTATGGGTGTGCAGTGAGACTCTGCAAGAGACACTGAAGCTCCACTTTGTCAAATCCACAACTCAAGTGACACCATAATCCAATTTCCCTCTGCAGATGCTGCACAACAAGCATGTGATGGTGCGGGTTGGTGGAGGCTGGGAGACCTTCGAGAGCTACCTGCTGAAACATGACCCCTGTCGCATGCTTCAGATTTCCAGAGTAGAGGGAAAGATGTCACCTATCAGCATCAAGTCCCCCAACATCAAGGACCTTACCCCTGACAGCTACCTGGTGGTAGCAGCCCATTACCGAAGCAAGAAGTGAAAACATGGACATTACTGAAAGGACAAATTGGATTCTGTCTTTTATTTTCCTTTATAACTAGGAAATGTAGCAGTGCAACATAACTTTGTGAAATATTAAAAATATAACAGAGCTGCATGCAAAAAAGCACACTTTTGGGAACTATTGAAGCCTTTCTTGGCTAAGGGGCAATCATGAGTTTGGGATCAGACTAAGCCTGGACTTGGTCTTAATATCTTTTTTAATGTCATCTTTGGTGCAGTTTAGAATTCCTTTGTTGAAAACAGCTTTAGATCATCTGCTGATCTTTACAGTATAATTGTTGCAAGGGAAGTTGTAGATTGTCCTGAGATTTGTTCTTTAAACATTAACTGTAATTGAAGTATTTTAGTGTTTGGTGCAGGTGGAGTATCTAAAGGTGTTGGGTTTTATGTTTGTACATGTAACAGTGTGTGGTTCAGCACCTCTGAGGGGACACAATGTTCTACAGCCACAAAATGGGGAGTTGTAGACTCACCTTTCCCTCCAACAGCACACCCTGTGAGAGGGAAAGGTGACATTTTCTACCTTGAAAATATGTGGTTTCCCCCCTTTTGTAAATCTATCATGAGGTTGATTTTCATATTTTCCTTTTTGTTACACTGATGGTGCTTTCGAAAATTACAAAAAAATACTTGTTTGAAGTGAAAACTGCAAAATCTCCCTTGTGTGATTAACATAAGTCATAAGATGGTCCTGTTTTTCTTTTTTATGCAAAAAATGAAGCAATGCTTATATTGTTGGATAGAAAGGCTCATACACTTGAGCAGTGTCAATGTATGAGCACATGACTGCAATGCCTCCAGCAGATGAAGCCATGGGGACAGCAGTGCTCAGTTTGCTGTGTGATACTGACCTCTAGTGGTAATGGTGTCGTTTCAGTTTAGATAAAAAGTGCCTTTGATTCTTTCAACTAAGACTTTAATCAAAGCATTACAGCGTGCTATAACCATTTGTATGACTTTTGTCCAAAAATATTGCCATTAAAAACTATTTGTTTAGAAAATGACCCCATGTATCAGTACATAATTTACATTTAGCAGTTTTAATAAATCCCCATTTTTCTTTTAGTGGTGATTTGCAACATCCCATGTCAGAGTCTTGTAGAGACATTTAAAGTTTAAAGGCTTTAAAGTTCAAGAAATATTGACTCCTAGTCTGCAGCTGACATTATAATTTGCCATTAATTGTAATGAAATCATGTAGTTTTAGGCAGAGAAATCCACACAAATGTATCAGAAATGTGGTTTATTGTAGCAAATAACATTGGCCAGATTCTGTGTTCTACAAAATGGTAAGAGCACATGAAGCAATAAAGGATTGAGTGAAGGCTGTAAATGCATTCAGTTAAGCAAATCAAAGCGAGCGATTCACCACGTTTTCTATTCATTCCTTTTTCATTTAGTCTCCCCTCTTAACTATCTGACAAAAGCCTCCCAACACAGAGTAAACAAAGCATACCGGCTGTCTGACAAAATGCGAACAGACTGCGGTGAGCACAGGGTGAATAGTGGCTGTTCACAAAAAATAGTTCATTTCTCATTCAAATCAAGCAGCAATCATTTTTTTTGTTTTCATTCAAAGGAACTAATACAACTTGTGCATTAAAAAAAAAACTAAACAAATAGTGTATAAAAAGCAGGGCATCGACTGGTGTGAAATGCAACAGGTCAAATGCCCAAAGTTTAGAGGCAGCTGTGCAAACACACTGGCTTTTTCTAACTGGAAAATGCATTTTTCATATCAAACACTACTAAAAGGAAGAAAAAAGACAGAGACCTTCTTCTTTAACGAGCGATTCCCATCAGTGTGAATATATGTGACAAAATACATTAGTGAAAAGCAAAGCAAATTCTGCATCAATCCATGCTATGTTTTGCACACATGAATGAGGGTCAACAGGATGCACACCGAGTGCCAGGACTGCTGGAGGTCAGATAAATGTAATATGGCAATTAACAGAGCGTACTAATCCTTCATTATGAAAACCAAAAGCAGAAGAAAGGTCAATAATAATATTCAACACAATCCTGTTCTTCCATGTGACTTCATGTTATCTTATCAGTCGTTAAATAAAAACCACAGGTTGGACATAATGTTTGCTTCAATATCCTTGACTTGTCTAAAGGTCCATGACAATGCGTGTACTTTGTTTAGTCTGAAACAACTTCAGACTGTTTTTTATGCAATCTGATACTGTCTACCTTAAAGGTTAAAGAGGGCAGCAACTCCTTCAAATATTTTAAGTGATCTTCAGCGTCCTTCATATTTTGCATTCAAAATGTCTAAATCATTAACTCAGACTTCTTAATTGGCCTTTGAGCTCGTTTATACATCGCCCAACTGTGAAACCCCCAACCTTCAACACACCCTGCATTCTGATGTCAACAGATGTTGACCGAGTAGGCATATGAGCTAAAATATATCTTCTAACTAAATATATCTTCTAACCAATTGGTGCTACGCCCCCATCTTGGCCCTATTCACCCCCTCTCCCATTTTTGGTCTCCTTCAATTGGAAAAAGTTTAGACATTTAAACTTTTATGGCATAACAATTCCGAAATACACAGTCCAGCCATAAAACTCTCCAAAGGTCCCTGACCTACTCTCTGGAGTTCAGTGGAGGCTTCACTGACTGCCTGTTCCAACTACCGTGTACAACCAGATGATAAAGGATGGCTACTGCTTCAGCAGGGAAACCAAAGGGATTTATTTATTTTAATTATTTGCTACACTAGCTCTATGTTCTAATGAGTAGTGTCAATTTTTCCTTCATTTGAACATGTCGACTATATTGCAAATTTGCCTCATTTAAAGTGAAATAAATTAAAAAATTGAGTTGGCTTTAGAGCTGGGGTGAGATGGGTGGTCGGCACAGTGCTGAAACGTGGAAAGGCTGTGAATTCGGCCACCTATCTTTTTCACACAAGCCAACAGCTGTGCATAGAGCATAAATAGAAACTAATAAAAACATAAATATCACAGATCAAAAACTCCAAAATGTTATATAGCATCATGATCGTCTTTCATTTCATTTACAGACCCTTCCAGTCTCCTTTCTTAATCAATTGCATTTTATAGATCCTGATTTAATTTTTTTTTTTAAAAAGGGAAATCATCTCAAAGGTGTTTTAGCATACCTTCCTTTCATTTTCATCCCTATTTACAAAGCCTGGGAAAAAGCCTAATCTCATTTTATACTTTTCAAACCTCCTTTGGAAGTTTAAATCTTGCAACAGTTCTTCATATAGTTCATTCAGGATGCTCAGCCCACCTGCCACTGCAAAGAAAAGAAATCACAAACAAGGACAACAATTATGAACTGTTCAGTATAAAAAAGAACATTCACTAATCCAACAGCATTTAAGACTAATATTTGTAGCATTTACTGGTATGTGTAACACATCTTTCACTGGGTATAAAGAATGTTCAAGTTTTATTCAGGACTCATTAGATTAGAAAAAAAGGACATATTAAATTCACATCTAAGTCCCTTTAAATCCATTCTAAATTGTCAATGTTATTCAGATTTAATGCGAGGTGGAGCTTAGCTTCAATATGAATGGATTTTTTCTCGACGTTACAGGTTTAAATTAGAATATACACAAAACTGACCTTTAACCCCCCACCACCACCACCAGACACAGAGGTGGTCATCGCCTGTTTCTCAACCTCCTCGTGTTTTTTTCTTTTCCTTTCAACTGCCTCTGGGTTTTTAACACCCCTGTACGCTGTCTGGAAAATCAGAGAGGGAAATGGTTAGGCAAAAGAAGTGACCAGGTTAAATGAATCACTCATATTGATAATAATCATTCAAATAAATGAATACATACATACATACATACATACATACATACATACATACATACATA